TCGCCTCGTCATCTCGAAGATGCGTATTCGCCTACAGCCTCGCCGGAGACCACAAGGTAAGCGACCCCCAGGTAAGCTGAATGTTGCTTTGTTGTCTTTGCCTGCTCACCGTCTCCATTTCAGCAATGAGCTAGCTCAACGGATAGACAACTTTCCTATCGCTGCCGATGCCGCCGATGCCGAGAACGCCTCCATGGAGAACCGCTGGTGTCAACTGCGAGACACGATGCAGTCGACGGCGCTCGCCGTCCTCGGTCGCGCTCCCCGCCAACACCAGGACTGGTTCGACGACAACGAAGCTGCCTTCAGATATCTGCTTGCTGAGAAGAACCGCCTACACAAAGCCTACGTAGATCACCCCACTGAGGACAACAAAGATGCCTTCTACCGTAGTCGACGACAGTTTCAGCAACGACTGCGCGAGATGCAGGACGCCTGGACTGCTCGCAAAGCTGAGGAGATCCAAGGCTACGCGGACCGCAACGAATGGAAGACGCAAGGACGCAACTATCGTGCACCTATACAAGCGAAAAGGGAATCGCCAAGTCTGCGACAACCACCGCGGCATCTCCCTACTGAACATCGCCGGGAAGATCTTCGCTCGCATCCTGCTCAACCGCCTCAACAACCATCTGGAACAGGGCCTTCTGCCGGAAAGCCAATGCGGCTTCCGGCGTCATCGTGGGACCACGGACATGATCTTCTCAGCCCGCCAACTTCAGGAGAATTGCCAGGAGATGTGGACTCACCTGTACTCTACCTTCGTGGACCTGACGAAAGCCTTCGACACGGTGAATCGTGAAGGACTGTGGAAGATCATGCAGAAATTCGGCTGTCCGGAGCGATTCACTCAGATGGTGCGTCAGCTGCACGACGGTATGATGGCGCGAGTCACGGACAACGGAGCTGTCTCAGAGGCATTCGCAGTGACCAATGGAGTGAAGCAGGGATGCGTGCTGGCGCCAACCATCTTCAGTCTTATGTTATCTGCCATGCCGATGGACGCCTACCGCGACGAACGCCCTGGAATCCGCATCGCCTATAGAACGGACGGTCATCTCCTGAATCAACGGCGCATGAACTTCCAATCCCGTGTATCCAAAACCAACGTGCACGAAATCCTCTTCGCTGACGACTGCGCCCTGAACACCACCTCGGAAGAGGAGATGCAACGCAGCACGGTCCTATTCACCGCAGCTTGCGATAACTTTTGGCTGGTTATCAACACGCAGAAGACGGTGGTGATGCATCAGCCGCCTCCCAACTCAGCCACAGCCCCCAACGCGCCGCAAATCAGCGTGAATGGGACTCAACAGCAAGTGGTAGAGAACTTCCCGTACCTGGGCAGTACCCTCTCCCGCAACACCAAGATCGTCGACGAAGTCGCCAACAGGATCTCGAAAGCCAGTCAAGCCTTCGGACGCCTCCAAAGCACAGTTTGGAATCGCTACGGTCTCCAACTGAGCACAAAGCTGAAGATGTACAAGGCCGTCATCCTGCCGACGTTACTGTACGGAGCGGAGACGTGTGCGGTGTACACGAGGCAGGCACGTCGACTGAACCAATACCACCTCAGTTGGCTCCGTCGCATCCGGAGGCTGAACTGGCAGGACCTCATCCCCGACACCGAAGTGCTGGAGCGAACGGGAATGCTCAGCATATACGCCATACTGAGACAAATGCAGCTGCGCTGGAGCGGCCACCTGGTGCGCATTGACGACGAGCGACTACCCAAACGACTCTTCTACGGAGACGTCGCGACGGGTTCTTGCCGTCAAGGAGGCCAAATTCGCCGCTACATGTATACCCTGAAGTCCTCCCTGAAGCGCCTGCAAATCAACCCGACCAACTGGGAAGAGCTCGCCCGCGATCGTCCGACATGGAGGAGAACAGTGAAGACGGGCGGTGCTATCTACGAAGACAACCGCATCGCCGCCGCCAAAGCGAAACGCGAAGTCCGCAAATCACAATCTCGCCCAGTACGCAACGCCGCCGCACAACCGCTTCCTACGTGTCCTCGATGTCAACGGACATTCCGGGCACGAATCGGACTTGTTGGACATCTTTGGATCAACTGAGCCTCTTGAACTGCTCCAGCCATTGTCCCCCCGCCCGCCCCTTCCTCGTCCTCTCTTCCGCCAACTACCTCTGATAACTCTTCTGCACCACCGCTTCCGTCCTTCTTCTCCTCCTCCTCCTCCTCCTCCTTTCCTCCTCCACCTCCTCCTCCTCCTCCTCCTCCCCCACTGCCCCAGCGGCGGCTGTTCAGACTGCCGTCTCACACACCACCAACCCCAACACAACAGCCGACACCACCCCCACCTCTCCCGATTCCAGTGATGAGGATCAGGACTACACCTGCGCCCACTGCGACCGCACCTTCACCTCTCGCATCGGCCTGGTCGGTCACTTGTGAATCCATCGCACAGAGACTGGCGAGCAAGTGCCTGGAGCACCAACCTACACCCACCGCACTCGCCTCCACTGCCCACACTGCCCTCGCACCTTCAGTCGTCGTATGTGTCTATTCGGCCACATGCGCATCCATGAGAGCTGCATTGACCGCAGCCTAGACACAGCCACCTCGCCGAGCCCCACTCCAAATCCCCCACCTTGTGCACCCACCAACCTCCCCGCAACCGCCGTCGATTCCACCGACTCTACCAAACCTCACTGCGCCCCTTCCTACTCCTCTTCCTCCTTCACTGCCACAACGACGGCCGCTTCGGCGTCTGTCGCCCACGAATTCACCACAGCCGCACCTGACACAACAACTGGCACAACCCCTGCAAACCCCATCAACAGACGTGAGGGCAAGGCCTACATCTGCCCTCACTGCGATCGCACCTTCACTTCACGCATCGGCCTGGTCGGTCAATTGAGAATCCATCGCACAGAGACTGGCGAACCAGTGCCTGGAGCACCAACCTACACCCACCGCACTCGCCTCCACTGCCCACACTGCCCTCGCACCTTCAGGCGTCGTATTCGGCCACATGCGCATCCACGAGAACGGAATTGACCAAAATTCCGATACACCAACCACGCCCTTCATGCCCAGCGCCACCCTCGCATCATGCGTTTGCACCACCACCAACGCCTCCTCTGCAGCTGACACTGACAACGCCGCCTTCACATGCCCACACTGTTCACGCACATTTACCTCACGCATCGGCCTGATCGGCCACTTGCGAATCCATCGCACAGAGACCGGAGAACCAGTGCCTAGAGCACCAACGTACACCCACCAAGCTCGACTCAACTGCCCACACGGTCCTCGAACTTTCGGGCACCGCATGGGCCTATTCGGCCACATGCGCATCCACGACGACCTGCGGTAGACAACTGCCCGTTACACCACACAGCCACACACTGCCTACCCTCCTCCACCATCACCAACACACATCAACACTCATCCACCGCATGCACCAACTGCTTCCGTCCACGCAAGTGGGAAGTGTGCTCTCGACTCGGTCCCCATGCGGCTTCGGCTGCACGGGTGACTTGAGTCCGAGACTATCCCGACACGTCAAGCGTCGTGGATAGGAAGGTTGCTGTTCGACGCCCGTTCTCGGCTCACGCAGTTCGTCACGTTGTGTGTGTGTGTGTGTGTGTGTGTGTGTTGTGTGGGGTGTAGGGGTGTCCAGCGGTGGGTTCACGTGAAGGTCGTAGTGGTCGCTCACTTGCTTGCAGGTGAGACTACGCCTAGCGTCCATTTACTGGCACCCAACTCTCACCTGTGGCTCCACGTAGCTGGGCTCTGC